TTAAATTATTATTATTATTATTAAAACATTACCAAACATAATTTAACATAATAATATTATTAAACAATGCAAGTTTAATAACTAGTTTCGAACGTCGAATGTGCCGTACTTACGCTTGGCGAACGAATCGTGGTTACTAAGTGTTGCACATAACAGAATATTTACTTTAAGCGTTTCGAATTAAAAAAGGTCCGCATGAGCAACGGAGAGAGATAACTAGACTAAATCTATTTTTAGACTCGAAAATCTGGCAACCCTGTCGGAAGTGTCTACGATGCAATTGTCTCTATATATGATGGAAGTGACTAAGTCACGGCCATAGTACACAAATATTTATTTGCGAAATCCTTTCCCCTCTCTAGAGATTCGGATTACGTAGGTTCCCCTTCACTTATATATAGTTTTAAAATGCTTGTATAAGCCTTCGTTCATGTGGAAGTTAGGACGCCTTGTTTATACTACGGAAGTGACAACTTAACAGGCATCGATATATATATATATATATATATATATACATACGAGGTGTGTTCAGAAAATAACGGGAATTGTTAAATTTCGCAGGTTCGGAGGGTCTGGTTGTCATAAAATTGTCTTTATTATCTTGGTATACATGACCCCGAAGTATAATACATACTTTAGCTGTTTTCATTGTTTACTTTGTCTGTGGCAGCCGCTAAGGTTAGACGTGTTTTATGAGCTCGGCGATTTTTCGTTCGTTAAAAGAAATGGTTCAAAGAATTTGTATCCAATTTTGCTTAAAAAATTAAATAAATTCTGTGAAATATTAACAAAGGCCTATAGTGAGTCTGCTATAAGTAAAACAAGAGTTTACAAGTGGTATAAGAGTTTCCAAGATGGTCGTGAAGACGTTGAAGATGACGAACGCCCCGAACGCACAAGCACATTAACAACCGATAAAAACATGGAAAAAGTGGAAGAAAAGGTTATAAACCATCAGAGAAGTCGCTGATGATGTTGGTATATCGATTGGCTCATCCCATGAAATTTTTTCGAATGTTTTGGGTATGAAACGCGTGCCAGCAAAATTTGTTCTAAAATTGTTAAATTTTGAACAACATTTTTGGCCAAAAACAATACTGTAATGATGCCCCAGCCTCCATATTCGCATAGTTTTGGGAACCATCAATAATTATGAAACTTAGCGAATTTCAGTGGATATAAGAAGTTGGTAATAATGGCGCCCAATGCCTAGTAAAATCCCCACTAAGTTTATTTCAGGCCTTTCAAAAAGACAAGTTTTCGACTTAAGTCAAAGGTAACGCCTTTTTCCGCATAGCTTAAAGCCAATAACCCTCGTCCTTTTAGGTTGGTACTAGATTTTATGACATTTGAACCAGTCAATTTTCTATGACCTTTGCGGGAGGAGTTATCATAATTTTGACCAATGGTCTTTATGAATTTATCCCTTCCGATTGTCCCTTAATATTGTCTATAAAAAACCAACGCTATCCTTGAATCGCCAGTTTTTATCCAGATTTTATCGAGCTTTTAAACCGTCTGCAGGTGTCCGTTTGAGCCACTATTTGCCAGCTTCAATTGATTCAGTGTAAGCTATCTATAGTAATTATTGTATTTTAAGATTATATATATCTACTATAACTCAAAAGTTGTTAAAACTGGCTAGTTTTTAATTGAAAACCCTGTATAAAAAATGATCTCTATAAAAAGTAATAAACCAATCAGAGTACACAGCATAATCAATCAATACGAACTGATTTACCATAATTAAAAAGTGCCTAATTTGCATTTTTTGTTTGCAGAAAGGTCGATCAAATTATGTAAGATCTTCAATCCCTATGGCGTCAGGACGTTGATTGATTAAATCATGTATTTGTGCTAAGCCAAATTAGTAAGATCTTTGAAAGCTTTGAATTCCAATAAAATGTCCTATAAGGGCTAATTTATGCTACCCTTTCACGTCAGCAAATAGAGTAATTTATAAGGAATCTAAAATTTCTGTACCTCTTACTAAAATATTATTTAAGTTTGACATACATACCTCTTGTTTTCCAATGAAGAAGTGTTTTATTTTTACTCAGGGTAACACATATATTGATTGTATATTCTGTTGCCGATTTATTATTTATGCCAATAACATGGTAGGTTTATTAAAAAGCTAAAATTAGATGGAATGGTTAAATTAATTTTAATTTGTATGCGCCAAATAATATTAAATTACATAAACAATATTAGCCTATCGGGTTAATTGATATTAAACTGGCAAAACAGGCAACGAAATAGTAATTCAATGCAGGCTGTTATTTCGACAAAATGACGCGTGTGATTAATAATTAATTTTGCTTTTAATTTTAGACTAGCAATTATTGTCGATTGTGTTTCAAATTGGACTAGATATACGAGAATTATTTAAATCCTCCATAACTGTACTTATAAGTAACGATTTAAGTGAAATCTGCTGACCACCACATTTTTTACGGGTGATGGAAGACATGAACTGATGTATCTTAAAGGTGTGGCGACTGACTAAAGTAATTATCGTAAAGGTGTAGCGACCTAATAATAAAAATCTTATTTTACACTTACATCTTCGTCTTTTACCATTGCCAATTACACTTTTTGCTAACATTTTATCTAATTCTATTAAATCCAATTATAATATTTAAAAAAGATTTTTTTTACATCTTGTCGATAAGCACGCTAGTCTGTCGCTACACCTTTATAATAACTAGGTATATCCTCCCCACCCATTTAAGTGCCATCACCCATTTTGAGTGCAATTTTGGCAATTTATATTTGATTACGTTAAAATTAACACAATGAAGTGGATACATGAAGCTATGGGGATTTTACAAAAGTTTGGCAACTTTTGACCTCATTTATGTTTATATAGTTTTCGGAGAAAATTAAACAGTATTTTGTTATGAGAACATAGATAATATAATAAATATACTGTTCCAGACCGGGCCAGTCACTTTATCTATGTTTTCTAAATTTGAATGCAAGGGAAGTGACAAGTATACCAGGGTACTAACTAAATACATAATTTATTGGAAAATATAAGATTTATTGCAACTTTGAGCATATTATACATTAAATATCTTAAAATCAAATAATACCACACATCAGTGGCAGCTGGTGGATTTTGGGTATACCGATATCTCAATTATTAGATATGGGACCCACACCAAATTTATATGAGTTTATAATGACATAATAAACAAGTTCTGCGCAAGCAGAATTTAAATTAAAATTTGCGAAAAAAAGATAAACGAAACTCGAACATGGAACTGACGACAAGGTACCATTCAAATTTGAGATTATAAATCGGAATTAAGTATTTTACTAATATTTTTATTAGTGGATGCTACTTATCAACAAATCACATATAGCCTTATATAAATTACCATGAAATATATATACGTAAGAAAATAACTACTCACCACAGTACTGAAATTTTGACTGGAACTATACGTGCATTCACCACAACTTCGCCGCTTGCATTGTTATCAAAATGACTGTCGTGCAAAGGGCGGGCTCTGTAGGTAATTTTTTACCTACACTTGAGTTAAAACGAGGACTTGACGTTTAAACTTCAATATTTCGCAGGAATTTTGAATTTTAACATTGGACACAGAACAGACGGGTAAAAGTGAGTACAAAGATTATCAATTTTTTAAAAATTGCTATTATTCGAATCTATAATAAAATATGAAAAATACATTATTTAATGTTTGATAGTTTGTAGTGAAATTAAAAAATTTAAGATAAATTGAATATATTTTAAAATAAAATCACTCAAATATTTAATTCAGGAGTGACACGCCAAGGTACTGATGTTATGAATATTTATTATGTTTTTTTACAAACGTGCTTTTGAAAAAATACATTAAAATTGGGTGGACAAGTTAAAAAAAACCTGTATCTTTTGTAATATACTAAAATATTTACAAAAAATATTAAAATACCTACTCTATTGACTGATTACATCAAGTTGTCCAACTTTTGTAGAATCACCCCTATAAAATATTGCAAATTTTATCAAAATCGGATAAAAAATGGTTAAAGTATATTTGAATTTTGCATATCAAAAATAAAACGGTTCTACAATATCAAGATTGACAAGGGTAAAAAGAGGAAATATAACTTTTGTACGTTTTTTTGTGATACCTTTATCGACTAAGAAAAATATTTATGTCAATCAGCTTTTGTATTATATTGTCTACTATTTTTAGAAGGACGACAATTTAAATATTTAAGTAATTGGATAAAATTGTATATAACGTATTTGCAACATCATGTTATATTTTATAGGAACCTTGATAAAAAAAGTTAGGCTTAGTGTGCATTTTACAAGATATTACAAGAACACTGTGAACAACTGCAAAATCCTTAACAAAACGTGTACCTACCCTATTTAAATGATGAATTAAATGTAATGCCCTAAGTATTGTGAATGCAGAACGCGTTCTTTAGAAATTCTTTCAGAATATCCTTTTGTAATTTAACTAACAGGGTTTTTCACATTCTGATCCATTAGACGTTTCTAGGGAACTGAAAAAAATCGATTTAAAATTCTAAAAGCGTTTTAATTTCCCAAAGAATCTATACCAGGATTATTTTTTTTAATTCAAAAATTCGTATGTTTGAAAGCTTTGAAAAGTGTAAAAAATCACTAAAACTGCAGTTTTAGGGATTTTTTACACTTTTCAAAGCTTTCAAACATACGAATTTTTGAATTAAAAAAAATAATCCTGGTATAGATTCTTTGGGAAATTTTATGCTCTACAAGAATCCGCGACGTAAAAATTTTTATCTCAAACGGTTCAAAAGTTATAGTATTTTTAATGAAAAAAGATTTTTTTACGTGTTATTTCAATGAAAAACTTAGAATGCTCACCGACACCTTTTAAAATTGAGCAAAAAATTTTGCCTTGCAGGGAAATTTTTTGCTCGGTATGTAGGTTCATTTTAACCCATAAATCCGAAAGGTTAGTTTTTTTGGCTCACCCTAATATATTTATAGTAGATATTACGGCAATAATTATTATTAGTAATTCTCAGTTTCATATTATTCACCCTGTATTTAATAACCACAACATGCCAACGTGACACTTTGATCTGAAAAATTTTTGTCATTTTTTTGTTAAATGATTTCTTACATACAAAATTTCTTTAGCAGTTTATATGACCTTTTCAACGGTGAGAAGTGCAGTAATAATTCTTTAAGACTTGTACAAGTTGTAAGTATTAAATTTTAACCAATTAAAAAATGTAAGGTTTAATTTTTTAGATTTTTCGACATGGTAATAGAACCAACCTTACCTCAGCCACGTACAAAATTGATCCTTACAGATTTGAGCAGTATTATCCTTATGGTGTTGGGCAACTTACTAAAGTATAAAACAATCAAATTTAATCAATCTTTGAAAAGTATTTTTAGGAAGGGAAGTTAAAATCATACAAGATGGGCCAAGACCTCCGTAAACGATACAAACAATTTCTGGGTGATGTTTATTTGAATAAAATGGTTGAAGGTATAAGCTCGTCAAAAACAAGAGCCCAATGTAGCCTTCTAGCAGCTTTGGCAGGACTGTGCCCCCCAAATAAAAACGAAATTTTCGAAAAACGTTTGAATTGGCAACCCATTCCATATAACACATTATGTGAACAACAAGATAAGGTAACTTTTTTAACTAGACAAGGTGGTTCAAAAGGAAACTAATATGTAAACCAGTTGTGTACATAAGAGATTCCTAAAAGAGCAATACCGTTTGGAAAAAACGACATGATACACCCTAATTTCCATATATTGTTCTTATAGTTATTTCTTAAAACAGACAATGAAAAGTTTGTAAAACTGTATTGCGAGCTGCAAAAAAACCCAGAAACTATGGAAATCCTAAGTAGATACTGCAACATTTTTTCCTATCTAACAGATTATACAGGGCAGGAAATAAAAACCATTAAAGATTCTTATTTCTTGTACGGTTGCTTTAAAGTTGAGGTAAGCAATGAGACAATCATCAAGAAAAGTTCTTTACGTTTTTTTTTTCAGGAAGAACTAGGCTTTGTCCTGCCTGATTGGAGTTGTAAAGTATACCCTGACCCCTTACATGAAATGGCCTTAATTTTTTTTACAGAGCTAACCGAAAATTTGGAAATTAAGAGGCTTTTTACAGGTACGTTTTTAAATGACTTCAAAAACAAATTAAGAATTTGATCTACAGGGTATCTGATGAAATTCATGGTTAACGAAATGAATGAGAAAATAACCGATAGGCAGAATAATAGGAAAAAAATGGTGCTCTACTCTGCTCATGATTTGCAAGTGATGTGTTTCTTGATTGCAATAGGATACTGCAACATTGAAATACCTCCATATGCAGCATATATTTTGGTTGAGTTGCACGAGATTGATAATGTTTTTGGTGTCAAGGTATAGTCGAACAAACGAGCCAAAACTATTTTTTCCTCAATTGAATTTTTAGGTGTTTTATCAAAATTACAAATCCAGTAAACCGTGTCAGGTGAAAATTAAAGGTAAAACCTTCACCCCACTGGACGAGTTTGTTTGTATGATTAAGGATTCGTTTCCGAAGGACTAATGTAATAAAATTTAAATGTAGCAACATGAAATAATAAATTTTGTAATACTTGTGCCACAAAAGCTCTCTATTGAAAGGAACTTCTCTATGGATTCCCTTCATCGAGAATTACGTCCTTTCAGGACAAACATGCTCTTCAGTAACAAAGTGGTGAGAGCGGAGTAGTTTGATGTATAACATGTATAAAGCGGCAGCAAAATTCGATGTGAAACGCAGCAGTTCGCTTTAAAGACCTTTTATAAAGGGTTTATTTTAATTAATCGATAGTTGCCTTCTGTCCCTATACATACACACATTCTGTTAAATCATATAGTGGTTAAAGTAAATATGATCTCAAGCGAAAACAGGTCGAGTTAGTCCAAGTTAGTTAAAACTGGAGATCTAGCCGGCCATTCTTGAGCACCTCTATGTCTCGGGAAACCTTTGGTTTAGGCATTCTCTAACTTCTAAAGCATAGTGATGGGGAGCTTTATCTTGTTGAAAGTGCAAAAGTTCTTCATCAAGCGACATGTTTCCTTATTCGTCCATCTAATTTTCTAATGACTGGGTAATAATGGGTCTCTACATTTTCAAGAAAATTCAGTCGTTTTCTTCGATAAAAAGGGTCCAATCATTTCGTTGCCAAGAATACCAGCCCATACACAGTAAAAAAAAGCTTCACACTAGGCTTCACTAGAGAACACTAGTTATATCTTGAGCAGGTCCACTTTATTAGAGTTCAAATTTTCACCTTAAATTTAGTGTGAATTTTAGTGTTGTTTTAATTCTAAAGGTTGTACTCCAGTGTACTACAGTGTACTACAGTGTAACACGTTTAACACAGTTCGTGCGACTTCATACCAGTGGCGGCTGGTGGATTTTGGGTATACCAATATTTCAGTTATTAGACATGGGACCCACACCAAATTTATAATAGTTTATAATGATATTAAATGAACAAGTTCTGCGCAAACAGAATTTAAATTGAAGTGCGAAAAAAAGTTAGTTTTTCCTGTCGCCTCACCCGCCTCCAGGCCCCCTTTTTAAGATAATTCAAATTAAAGTGGTGCAATTTATTATCTACTATAATTTATCGACAAATTTAAAATTTTATTTAAGAAATCCAAATATTACAGATTTTATTCGATTTTAAATTTTTATTATTTATTTTATTAAAATAAAAAAATATTTAAAATGGTATAAAACCTGTAATATTTTGATTTTTTAAATAAAATTTTAAATTTGTCGATAAATTATAGTAGATAATAAATTGCACCACTTTAGTTTAAATTATCTCAAATAGGGGGGCCTGGAGGCGGGTGAGGCGACAGGAAAAACTAACTTTTTTTCGCAAACTTCAATTTAAATTCTGTTTGCGCCGAACTGGTTTATTTAATGTCATTATAAACTATTATAAATTTGGTGTGGGTACCATGTCTAATAACTGAGATATTGGTATACATAAAATCCACCAGCCGCCACTGAAGTTGTGGGTACCATGTCTAATAACTGAGATATTGGTATACATAAAATCCACCAGCCGCCACTGAAGTTCATACACTATTTGATTGAAAATTACTAACCGTGTTCGGTAGCTTATTTGCATTTATTTTACTTTTAGTGTAAATGCTATTCCTAATAGAGCTGGAAATTTAATCTATCTAGTGTTTTTCCTAACACTATTAGTTTTAAAAATTGTAATTTACACCAATATTTTGTAAGATTGGTGGCTGCAGTGCGCCCTTAAAGTTGCATACATACAATTTATTTACTCGATAAAAATGGTATTAAAATAATATAATATTAGTACATCAAAGACCAAGCGGAGAAAGCACTTTTTAGGTTAGGTTTAACTGGCGATGACATTTTAGCTTTATTTCGGTATAAAGTTTAATATTAATTTGACTTTTGAACTAGTATTAATATTCATGAAGTCTTTTTATATAGACTTTGAAATGTTATAATATAAAAATTATTGTACGCTTGGAAAAATATATATAATGGAGGTTGGCAATGATTCTGCTCTTATTAATTTTTTATATATTCATTTATTTTTAATGATATGCTTTACTTTTGGGTAGCGCTGCTGGGGTGTTTAAATAATGTTTATATAAAACAAATAAAATTTATGTTTATTTAAAAATACATTGTAAGTTTTACGTTACAAAAAATTAAACTACAATATTTGGCAATCACTTTATATAAATACGTAAATGGACTGTCCATTGTAAGTTTTACGCTACAAAATATAAAACTAATCTTCTATATATTCTAATCTAATATATATATTTTAAGTAATTGCCAAAGATTATTATTATTATTATTTATAAATACGTTCAAAACACCAAATATTTTGGCACAAAGTACCAATTGACACTGTTGGATTAGTGTAAATTGTATGACTCTTTGTGAAGCAAGCTAAAAATCTCGTAGTTTTATACAGGTGACCAATTCTTACCCATTTTGTGACTAAGGGTTGTGTTGTTGAGTTTTTTAACAAGGAAGCGTTAAAATTTTGCCTATGATTCATTTTAAAAACGTTAAAATGCACAAAACAAATCCGGTTAAGCCGGCAAAACGAAAAACAATGTCGTAATCACACTTAATAAATTAGCCAGAGAATTGGTTGGTTAGTTTACAAACTAGCTAAAGCTTGGCTATTTTGTGTTGCTAGAAATTTTGGTTTTCATATTAGTCAAACTGAATTGGATAGTATACAAACTATCCAGCTATTTTAGTTTCCCTAATAATTTCAATTAAATTAGCCAAGATCCTTGGTTATTTTGTAAACTAGCCGCTAATTTAGTTGAAAATATGTTTTCAATTAAAATAGCTGACAGTTCGGCTAGTTTATAAACTATCCAGCTAGTTTATAAACTATCCAAGTTTGCACATTAGCCGTAACATATATATCTCAAAAGTTATCAGGGGTGGCTAATTCTTCATGAAAAGCCTTGTATAAGAGATCAGTTATATTTAAATTTATTTAAATTCAAGTGACTTCATCAAAGTAAAAGCAAAATTCTTTATTATAAATAAGTCGTTTTATTTTTATAGCGGCGTCATTAATCAATGCTACCAGTTAATTTTCTTTTCAAAAGGCTCTTTTCATTTCCATATTTTAATGAAAAATGTTTGTCTTTCCAATCCAGATTAATGAATCAAAATGCTTTTACCCTTTTTTAAGAGGGGCTTGAAACATGAAGCTATAGCTTCATATATATACAGGGTGTTTCATAATATATGCGCAGGACTTCAGGATATGATAGCTCATCCAAAAAGATGAAAAAAGTCGCTATTAACTTACCCTCTAAAATGCACAATTTTCGAGATACAGGGTGTTGAAATTTTAGAAAAAAAATCGTTTTTTTTTATTATCTCTGGAACCGTTTGTCGTACAAAAAACAGCTTTTGTAAGCATTTTCTACTTATAATAAGCTATGTTTTGCGCCAGAAAAAAATTTTTTTTCCTGATAATTGGTGGAGATTTTGAAGTGGTAGCGGGTGTTTTTCTCCTCAACTTCTACGCCCCTGAAAAATGTACGGTTTTGAGAGGCCTATTCGAACCGCCAATGGTTTCTACACAAAAAAGGTACTCTTGGTCATAAGCTCTAAAGTTGACCGTTTTCGAGAAAAATCAACTTTTATGTTTAAAAACATGGTCAATTTAAAAAAAAATAATTTTTTTTACTAATTAAACAAAATTTATTTTAACGTTAGAACAAGTAACAAAACCAAACCATAATTGCAAAATAAAAAATGATTCAAAAGTTGTCTTTGCTAAATTCTCCAAACCGTAAAGGTAACGCATTTCGAACATTTCAGCATTTGTGTAAAAAATCATTTTTTATTTTTTTTTAATTTTGCAATTATCGTTTGGTTTTGTTACTTTTTCTAACGTTAAAATAAATTTTGTTTAATTAGTAATAAAAATTTTTTTTTTAAAAATTGAACATGTTTTTAAACATAAAAGTTGATTTTTCTCGAAAACGGTCAACTTTAGAGCTTATGACCAAGAGTACCTTTTTTGTGTAGAAATCATTTACGGTTCGAATGGGCCCCTCAAAACCGTACTTTTTTCAGGGGCGTTGAAGTTGAGGAGAAAAACACCGGCTACCCCTTCAAAATCTCCACCAATTATGAGTAAAAAAAAATTTTTTCTGGCGCAAAACATAGCTTATTATGAGTAGAAAATGCTTACAAAAGCTGTTTTTTGTACGACAAACGGTTTCAGAGATAATCGAAAAAAACGATTTTTTTTCTAAAATTTCAACACCCTGTATCTCGAAAATTGTGCATTTTAGAGGGTAAGTTAATAGCGACTTTTTTCATCTTTTTGGATGAGCTATCACATCCTGAAGTCCTGCGCATATATTATGAAACACCCTGTATATATTTCCAGCATCCACACAACCAAACTTATATGGAATCACCCAGTAATTACGAAATTATTATTAAACTTAAAAAAAGTGATTTGGAAATAAAACACTATATGAACCAATTTTATTACAAAAATAAAGAAAAATTTATTAAAACCAATTTTGTACAGAACAGATTACAAATAAATGTGAATTTCTCTGAACATAAACTTTACAATAAATTAGAATCAATAGGATGCAAGCACGAATTCGACAAGGCATGCTTTTTATTGTTATTTATTTCTTTTTGTTAAACTTTTTCCCACCCATCTACTAGTTGCTCTGCGTTGCCGGGTTGTTTTAACGGGCTCTAATCCTATTATTTCTTCTTAAATTCTAATTTAATTGATAAAAAATTATTAGCGGCAAGAAACAATATTTTAGCCTAAAAGAGTATTTATTGCTTAAAGAAAAAAGTTCTTAATGGAAGAAGTATAGTTATCTTAAAAACAAATACAAAATCTCTTAAATGTTTCTTCTTTCAACCAAGTGCAAAGTGTTTTTGTTCAAAAGCTATGAAAATTATTTATATTTACGAAATTCATTCAAGATACATCACAATTATCCCAATAGCATGTCAATTTTACAACAAAATCTGGTAGCTTCTGATACATGGGAGGGGATGCAAAACGCGCGCACCGTTTGCGGCACACGTGTTTAGTACGTTTTGTATCATTGCAACTTTCAATTCGCCATTTTCTAGGGGCAGTGATATAATATTATAATTCTATTATACACCGAAAAAAAATGTCATTTTTGAAAATGTTGTTTCATCAAAAAACCTATTGGATTAATCTATATTTTGGTGTCAAAGCAATAGTTAGAGTTTGTCAAAGTTTATTTGTTCATTTGACAGTTAAAATATTGATTTAACATAAAGTAATTTTTTGAATTAAAATGTTTATCCTAACTTGATTTAATAGCTGGA